GTATAGGTAATCGCATGGGGCCGAGTAAAATTAAGGATTAATATCACGCGTGTTTTCGGAAGTTGCTGAAATTGCCCGAGTCGCGCAGCGACGAGGGCAATTTCTGCAACTTCCGAAAACACAAGTGATATTAATCCTTAATTTTACGAGGAACCATGTGATTACTTGTTTATAATATAAGGGGCAAAATGTTTTCTTACTGATCTCGCGCAAAACGGGACGCCATTGTTACAAAACAAACAGAAATTTCTTTACCTTGGCAGCCGTTGCTAAGCGATTTTCAGCCAATCATTTTCAAGTAATTTTGCCCGGGGCAATTACAAAAATTAAGAAAAAATGCCCTCTGTCTTGACCATTCACAATTCAGTAATTTTGCCCCTTATATGATAAATGACATTATACTTGGCAGGTGGTTGTTTAACTTTTGGTGTTATCTAAAACGTCATTTTCAGTTTCCTTCTAGATGAACAAAACTCCAAAGGTTGTCTGCCAACTTTTATCAACCTGTCTTGCCTCTATGAAGAAGGAAGGAGGTTGGGGAGAGGTTAATGAGAAATGATACTAATCATTTGACTCAGAATAACTCAGATGTAAAATAGCAAACTTTTTCATCTATTGTTTTAATCATTTTCAAGAACATATAGGATGGGCGCTGTTAGCCTTCGCTAGACTTCAACAAAACATACGGTATTTTTTAGTGGAAATCTAACAAAGGTAGCTTTTCTTTTTCAAACAAAAAAGGGAGCATTTTCTGGTATGGAGATGTGAAAAAATTTCTCTGGAAACAAGGCGCCATGGAGGCCGTAATGCAAACTTTCAAGTTCGGTTCTTGGTTTTCAGCCCCCCATGAAAACGAACCCCCAAATAGTTCTGCAGAAATCCTCAATATTTCACAATATGCATAGAGTCTGTGCCAGTTCAAGCCAGAAAGTCTTAAGCAACAGCCAATTCAACAGATGAACTGACTTTGCAACGAGTGTGAAGTTCCTCTAGCTAAGTGACCAAAGTATAGACGGAGGTTTCTTACCGCGTTCACCATGACTAATTTTCGTTCACGGCCGCATGCCACAAGTGTTGGTTGTTGAAACCAACACAGAAGCAGGACGATGAAAAGGATAAAATGGCGGGCCATGTAGATAAGAGTGTAGCCCTCAAGATCGCTTGAGCAAATAAGCACTGTCCCGCTTGTGGTACCGGTTATAAAAGCTCACAAAGCACTGCCAGTTTCCAAGCAACTTTTCGAAATGCCAAATATTCTTTAACTCTTCTCAGCGAAATTGGATCAAGGACAATTATCTTATCATGTAGGTTATTGTTCGTCAAATTCTTAGTTTTAATTTCTGTAGTTCAGTTTTTTTCTTTTAAGAAAGGAAAGACGTTTAACTCGCTTACGTCAAGAGAAACTTCCTATAATATCTTTTAGACCGTTTTCCTTCTTTCAACTATTCAAGTCTGTACGCCAGACTTGAGTTAAAACAAAGCAACCTTGTTATTTTTTTTACTAAGCAAAATAGAATTAAATCTGAAGATTAGTAATGCTTTTTAAGGGACAACTTTTTGTTTACCACAGTCTTTCCATTTCAGAAGAGACAAACTATGGAACTGCGAAAAAAAAAACGCCGACACTGCTAGAAGTTTTTTTTCGGTCAGTGTAGATCATGATTATAACCATGGACAATACTCGGGTCCCTCCCAAGAATAACCAAGCAACACAACAACTGAAAAGTTAGTCTGGCATGATTATGTCGTGCGACAGTTGGTGCCGCAGGCAAAAGGAATAACTTACTCAGTGAGAGCAACCCAAACCTCCTGTGTGATCTTAAGGTTTAATCCCTATTTAGTCGACCTTCTTTGTACTGCATGTTGTGCTACTATATAAAAATACGACCTTAAATACTGAGTAACATTACGGAATAACTGGTTGGGAGATTTAACCCGTTCTATTTCTCGCTTTTATTTTCTTCCATTATTATTATTTTTTTCGCACCTTTTTAAGATACTTCTGCAAGGAAAAGCTTCGTTTTTTTTTTAACCGTCGTCCTGAGATGATTGCAATATGTGAGATGTTTATCGTCTTCTGTAATACTCCGAAAGCAGCACCGGGAAACATCGGGTCCAAAAAAATTAGGTCCAGATCGGAATTCTATTGTTAGTCACTCACTCACTCACTCATCTCGACGACATGTGGCTGTGCCTCCTGTACGAAGCAGTAGCCACAAAAATGGCTTTATCCTCGCCGAAAACAACTTCATTTGAGTCTATACATCTTTTCATCAGTATGCATATTCTCCATACTGTTCTCTATACATTTCCTAAGGTGCTGACAAGGAGATAAA